TGAAAGATGGAATGAATGAAGAAAAGAAGGAAACAACGAATGAATGAACGAAAAAAGAAGAAAGGAAGGATAAAATACAAAAAAACAAACCTTAATGTTAGCAACTAAAATCATAAAACTTTATACTTACCCTCACTGACAGCATTATATAACTCATCACAGGACAAATCTGTTTTCAAAATATCCTTAAGCTGCTTTACTATTTCAACATCCTTATCTGTCTTTCTTCCAGCTCTCGGGTCAAGATTAACAGTATCAAGCAAGATAGAGGACAGCAGAAGGTAACTGACTTGTGAATATTCAAGGCCTTGACGATTATTTTGAAGGATTTTTTCGGCAACTAGAGTACTGCATGAGCCTACTAGCTCGATTGTTTTAGTGTAGGATGATGAACTTGGTGTTTGGTCTTTGCGATGGTCTGTAAAGTGGAGGACAATGTGAGTCAATGGGATGAGACACATTTAAGACAAAACTACAGATCATTGGTTGAAGCAATTCGTTAAATGAAAACTATGGATTATTAGATAATGATTATGGCGATGATGGTTAYGATGATGTTGGTGATGAAACGTATGGTGGTAGTGATGATAGTGATGATGTTGACGATGATGGTGATGATGATGATGAAGATGATGATAATGATGATGGTTATGAAGCTGGGGTGATGATGATGGTGATGATGGTAATGAAGCTGATGGTGATGATGATGATGATGGTGATGATGATGATGTGGTAATGATGCTGATGGTTATGATGATGATGATGATAGTAATGAAGCTGATGATGATGATGATGATGATAGTGATGAAGATTATCAATGATGATGGTGACGATAATGATGATGGTGATGGTGATGATGTGGTAATGACGCTGATGGTGATGATGATGATGAAGATTATCAATAATGATGATGATGATCAATGATGATGGTGATGATGATGACAGTCGTGATAATGACAGTCATGATGATGATGATTTTAAGAACATGGTGATCATCACCAATAAAGCACCTACCGATAATTTCGACCAAATTATCATTCAACTCAGCTTGACCTTGTGATAAGACATGATGATCCACCAAAGTAACAGCCAACTTTCCTTGCTCTTTCAAACCCAACAAGTCAATCTCGTCAACGAATACTAAATGTCTACAATCAATACCAAACTTCTCCATGGTAAATGTTATCTCYGTGCGCAAACGGTATTCTTTTCTGGGTATATTTAAAACTGGGACAATGATTTCTGCGACGTGCTCTGGACTACCTTCCATTGATGTTAACTAGAAATAAAAAAAAATAACAATAGACTGTTTGCAACATGGTGCTATTTCACTACCACTAAAAAAATGCTTCAAAAAAACCTTTCTTGTTTTTACAAGGGTAACACTTAGCAGCCAGTGGCTAGTAAAACTGTGGCCTTTGTTCCCTGATCRAATTGGAATTTAGACGTTGATTTTGCGGAGGGAGGAAAACTGTAGGACTCGGAGAAAAACGCTAGAAGCACAGGAAAGAACCAACAAAGGACTCTACTCACATACGACACCAAGTCCAGTGGGAATCAAACGTGGGTCGCATTGATGAGAGGTTAGCGATCTCACCACTACGCCACCTATGCTTCCTGTTAACTTTAAAAGTTATCTTATTTGAAACTTCAAAGTTTTCAAATTTGCATTCCTTAGTGTCAGTGAGAGAAGTTCTGCTGATTGTTACTAAATAATGTGTACAAGGGATTCTTGTAGTGGTAGGTAGGGCTCTTTCCATTAGGCCAAACATAAAAATAAGTGTGTTTCCTTTTGCATGAGAAAAATAATTGGGGTCAGGGGTTGGATTTTTTTTTTTAACTGATACAACAGTGGAAATGAGCTTACTGGCAACCCTGTGGTGCAATTGGGAATCAAAAAAATATTAGAGTCGGCAAAAATTGGCAAGAAAATTAGGGTGGGTCGCGCAACAGGAAACACACTTATTTTTTTGTTTGGCCTAGGGTTCAACTGATCAGTCCAGCAGCCAGTTCTCAATTGTTATGCATCAGGGCCCGGTTGTACGAAGCCTGGATAGCACTATCCCACTGATAAATCTTATCCAGTGGATAAATCTATTGCATAACAGCATCAACTTATCCACTGGATAAGGATTTATCCACCGGATAGCGCTATCCAGGCTTCATACAACTTGGCCTTGTTCTACAGAGCTTGACCAAGTTCTGAAAAACTGATAACAACTAATATGTATTTGAGAACTGGCTGCTCAGTCCATTTGATTGACTTAATGGCAAGGGTCCGTAGTAAATGATGCAAATTTTTCATGGGACAGCCATGCAATGGAGAATTTGAAAAACAAGTCAATGATAGTCCTTTTTAGCTTGAGCCTGGGGGGGGGGGGTACTCCCCTATATTCGCTATACGGGGGTATGGTTTTCAGCGATTCTACTCTGGAACAGGGTATATAAAATCGTGCTCGCTCTGGGACAGGGTATATGAAATCACACTCTCTCCTCTCTGGAACAGGGTATCCATTTTCGCAATACTGGAACACGGTATGATTTTCAGTGATCTTGCTCTGGAACAGGGTATGAATTTCAGGGATCTTGCTCTAGAACAGGGTATCTATTTTCGTACTACTGGAAAAGGTTATAGTTTTCAGCGATCTTGCTCTGCAACAGGGTATGAATTTCAGCGATTTTACTCTGGAACAGGGTCAGGGTTCAGTGGACTCAGCGGCACATCCCTACCCTAAACGGGTAAGAGTACCCCCCTCCCCCCCCCGGGAGCTTGAGTAGGTCTAGAATTTCCTAGAATATTATTTCTTTGTTTAACAATGCACATAAGAATGCAAATGAATATGAATACGAATAAAACAGAGAATTTTGTTCTCTAGGAAATGACCTATGGTCTTGGATGGGAAAACATTTTGCTTATTAGAGCAGAAGAGCAAACACAGTATAAGAACTTTCCAAACCTACCGTAAAGAGATTATATGCATAGACTATGGCAGACACAGCTGAGTCTAAATCACAAGCTTCGTTCCCAAGAACTACATGAACTGATGAATACTGACTAGACTCCAGCAGACACTAGAAGAAAAGAAAATAAACTTYGTAGAAGATGTTATTTACACTCCCATGAGAAAAGCAAAAGACAAAGGCGATGGCTGCCATGTTGGTTGACATAAAAAWAGAAACCAAGATTGAATATTTTGTTCAAATCCTCCAACATGGCCGCTTTGATGGACTCACATATGTATCAGGACAAAGGACATGGCTGCCATGTTGGTTGACATGACAAAAGAAATGGCATCCAAAAAGGCAGCTATGACCTTACGTGTAGCAGGAAAAAAGACATTGCTGCCATGTTGGTTCACATGACAATAGAAACCAAGACCTTATCTTTTGTTCATTCAACATGGCAGCTATGACGTCGAATGTCCCCAAAAATATGACACCAGATTGAGCTAAACCAATGTTGGTATGCAAATTTTGTCATACAAGTTCAAAACTCAGAAATTAATTTAGAGGATATGTTTCCCGTTTTCTAGAGAAGAAAACTTCTATTGTTTTCATGTCTAGATTGGTAGAACTTAAAAGTAATTACCTCCTAAGCTAGGATTAGGCTGTGAATTATTTACGCGCGCCGACAAGGCACACACAGACAGACAGACCAACGAGATATTGAAAGAGAACTAAACCAATAGATTAAACTCTCAAACTTACCTTTGATTTTAATAGGAAATTACTTATGGGGTTATTCATCGTTTTTTACAGATATCTTTGTAGGAATAAGAATTTTTCCTGAAGTTTTAACCCCCAGATAAATTTATCGCCAAACGTGCACTACATATGAAATATTGACTAGGCTTTCCTAGCATAGCACACAGGAATCCCAAAAAAATAATCTTAAGCAAAGTTTCAAATACAAGAAAAATCTTGACAATTTCGTTCATTTTATTATTTTTTCCTTGTCATGTTTTTGTTTAGAAATAAAATATTAAACGAAAGATGTATGATTGGTTTAGGATTTTCTGAAGGTCAATCAAGGTCACAGGTCAAGGTCACCAACCCTCTTTTTTTCTCTAACATCAAGTCTTATATATCTGATGTTTTGTACCATTAAGCTATTAGAATATAACTTCTTTCTAGTGAGGTGCTAATCAAATATAATAATGATAATAATGATGATGATGATGGTGATGATGGTAATGAAGCTGATGGTGATGATGATGATGACGATGGTGATGAAGATTATCAATGATGATGATGATGATGATGATGATGTGGTAATGACGCTGATGGTTATGATCATAATCATGATCATGAAGATTATCAATAATGAATAACTACTTCCTTTTCTAGTGAGGTGCTAATCAAATATAATGATGATGATGATGATGGTGATGATAATGATAATAATGAAAATAATAATATTCATRCCATGAGACTGGTCATCATTTAGGGTGGAGGGGGAGGGAGGGTTGAAATATATTAGAATCCCACTCTAATCAGTTGCAGATCCAGGAATTATAGAAAGGGTGGGTCAGAACAAAAGGGTGGGCCAGAAAACTTTGTCCTGAGAAAAACCTTCAAGACCCTATGCAAATACAATTACATTTAAAGAAAATGCATCACTATAAAGGTGGGCATGGGCCTGTGTATGGGCCCACCCCTAAATCTGCCCCTGCTTATTCACATGTAGTCACCTGTTTACAGCCCCTCACTATGCATGTAGTAATAAGATCAGTTACAAAATTTGTCATTTATTTTTGCTACATCTTTGTATTACACAATTATTATTATGTAGCTCCATCGGACATGCCTTTTGCCATACAGAAATAAAAAGCTGACTAAATGTCAAAATTCAATTTCAAAACTTAAACTAAATGCCAGTACTAAAAAAATTCAGCAATATTGATTTTTAAAATTTTAATCTGGTGTTCTGGTTTATAATCATATTCATGCATCCACGTTAAAATTGTGAATTCGTTAATATTATTGTTAAAAATTAGCAAGCACAATGGCTTTCCCATTAAAACTCCATGCCCTTGAGTACCATGACTTTCTCCAATTATATAACTCTATTAATAAAACTCACACTTAAACATTTTTGGTTCTAATTTTGGTTCTTACTTTATGTAGAGGACACAGTCTAGCCACAACGAAAGCCACAACGAAAGCCACAACAAAAGACTCCAAGTATACTGAAGAATGAAGCTAACAAAGAATACAATAGGTTTCTATTGAATTACGTACAGTGTCCTATATTGTGCCCTCTACACGAAGATGTACCTCTAATTTCTGGTTTGAAATGGGAAAATATTGTGCCCAAAGTAAAAAGTCTAAGTTATAAGCTAAAGAAATAACCAATTCATCTACAGCTCTAGGTATTAAGACTAAAACAATTCTAAATCTGTAGCAATAAGGTATATTAATTGTTCATAAAAGTGTCCACATTTATAAAAGGCAGACTTGTCTATTTTAGTTGTGGAACTCAAACTACATGGCAATATAATTTTTATGAATTCACTTGAGTGAACCATGAATTAATTGTTTCGAGAGGCTGAGCTTGATAAAATACAGTAAATGTATGAACACATCAAGTCTATCCTCAACTTGGAACCATTGATTCCTGGTCACTGAAGTGAATTCAGGAAAGGTGTATTGCTGCAATTAGAGACTGAGCTTGATAAAATACAGTAAATGTATGAACACATCAAGTCTATCCTCAACTTGGAATCATTGATTCCTGGTCACTGAAGTAAATTCAGGAAAGGTCTAAATTGCTCCATTCCTATAGCAGCAAAAATGTGCTGTGGAAGGTTGCAATTCTCTTTTATCTACATTTATCTTCACAAAGCATCTCAGCCAATGGTGAATAAGCTACAGATCTCTTGGAGGTCATTTAAACTAAAGTACTGTACTGTAATTGTTTATCACTTATTGTCCCTCAAGTGGGATTTCTTGTAAACATCTTTTTACTTGAATAAAGTAACACATTAGAGTCTGTGCATATATGCAGCACACTACTGCAGTGAAATGTTGCTTCCATGTTCTAGTTCAACAGAACTTCATCAAGAAACCAATGTTGTGTAATAACTCTATCAGCACTGTTGCTATGTCAATCATTACTGGATGAGAACATGTGAAAATCATGTGAAATACCTGTAGATAAGAATTTATGTGAATTTTTGAAATTTCACAGCATTTTCACAGGTCATTTTCATGTTTTGAGCCAGTAGCGAACGTTCATCTAGCCAGTGCACTCATGCATCAGGTTATATGTTCAGCTGCATGTGCTACACAGGCTACTCATGATCGGTTTCAACTCCAAAATTGGCAATAAATGTTGCAATAGCATTTTGTAAGAACTATCAAATGAGTAAAGTGCCATACTTCACAGCCAGTTGTTCATCATTCCTAACAGTTGTTTATCACAGTGTTTGCTTCCTATATTGGTGCAAGAATACATGTGAAATATCCATTCAAAAGTTCATGGATTTTTTCCTTTATTCTTTCCAAAGTTTATTTGGTTCTATATAAGACAAATACAAGTCTTCCCCACAAGGATTTGGTCTTGAACTTTATCACTAGATGTTGATTTTTCTGCTTGAATTGCAATGGCAGAGCACAAGAATGCAGCTATGGTTCCTCCTAATGCTGCGTAAAAAGCCCAGCCAAGAGAACATTCGTTAATTGCAAATGCACCGCTTGTCTGGAAACTTTTAGCACAAAGACGCTCAACTCGTTCATTGCCCCAACCAGCTGGGTACAAAACCAGGCCAACAATCAGAAAAAGACCTAGAAAGAGAAAAGATAATATTAATCCTTGTGCATCATCATAATCAACGGTATCATCATGAGCATCTTCCTCATCCTATATCCTCATCTAATCCCCATTCTTATCATCATCATCATTAAACCCCATCATCACCATCATCATCACCATCAATATCATCATCACCCCCATCACCACCACCATCACTATCACCATCATCATTATCATCGCCACCATCATCATCACCATCATCACCATCATCATCATTATCATCATCATCACCAGCATCACCATCATCACCCCCATCACCACCACCATCACTATCACCATCATCATTATCATCGCCACCATCATCATCACCATCATCATCATTATCATCATCATCAACACCATCACCACCATAATTGTTACGGTAACCAGTCGTTTCTCACAATTGCCTTTTCGCACGAACCTGTTCGAACAACTATGACCTTGTTACCATCACCATCATCATCACAATCGCTATCATCATCATCACAATCATCATCCCCATCACCACCACCATCACTATCACCACCACCATCATCATYGCCACCATCATTATCGCCACCATCATAATCACCATCATTATCAGCATCACCACCAGAGTCATCGTCATCATCATTTTCAAGATCATTATTTACCATCATCATCACCATCATCATCCCCATCATCATCCCCATCATCCCCATCATCACCGTCATCATCCTCATCATCAACATCATCATTGCTCTCACTGTTGGAATCATCATGTCCTACTCACCTCCAATAGCTTGTATTAATCCTCCTATTGTGAATATTGATTTACGACCAATGCTCTGAACACAAAATCCAATAAATGCCATAAATACCACGACGCTTAAAATAGCTGTGCCGATGACCAGGAAAATTATACATGCCTTCCACTCGCCGCAGGCAATATCATCAAAACTGTCTCCATAATACATGCATCGCAATTCCCTTTTCCCGTTAACGTATGTTGCAATATTAATACACCAGTTAATTATGCCCAGCGAAGGGATTTTCATTCCATCTGATATTTGCGTTTGATTGGTTGCTTGCCTTTCCAATTCTATTGATCCTTTAAGCCATTCGGGTGTCAGTATCCCGGCAACAGTTGCTAGGGGTGAGGATACCGAAAGCAGAAACCAAAGAATATTCCAAGACGTTACAATCACATAATGGTCATCCATTGCCATATTTCTGATTTCTTTCTTCAAAACAGATTTTTGTCTTGGTTTCAACCTCCTTCTAGACTGTTATACACTTCTTTTAGGACTTCTGCCTTGTTTTGAGTTTTCAATTTATATCTCTGTTCAAAATATGAAAAAGAGAGAATGATGAGAGAGGTTTGTTACAGCTTCTAATAAATATGTAATTAAATAAGTAAGTATTTTAGTGTTGATACAAAAGCAAGGACTGACTGACACTCCCTGTTTAAACCCGTTTTGCAATACACAGAATCAAAATATAGCAGCCAAGTTGAAAAACTATCGTTCTAGAATGACTTGTGTTTATGTGGGAAAATAAACRAATTTTCACATGTATGAGAAGCTAGTCAGTCCACAACAATATTTATTCAAATTGCTCGCCATATTTCTATTGGGCGTACATATCCTATACAAGAACTGGAAAACCTTTGCTTATAAGGCATGCACTTGCAAACACTCTGAAYGTTAGAAGAAATTTTGTACAAGCTTAGAATTTTGAAAGGTAAAAAAGGTGCATTGAGCTTATACTATACACAACAAAGTAAAATAAAGTAGGTCTTCTCATAGTTTATAACAATATAAAAGTGCAGCTGCAAAATTTCTGAAACTTTCTTGAACAAATCTTAATATTTGTTACTACTATCAGGAGGAATGAGGGAAGAAAAAAGAGAAAAGAGGTCTTCAAAGTATTGATCATTACCTCAATATTGTCTTCATCCTAGATTCATCAACTTCGAAATACTATATGTACTTGGAAATGTAAAAGCTCTAGTGCACTATCTTAAAACCAGACATTCTAGAGGTAGAGATAAGATATAGGTGCCATATGCATAATTGATACCCAAAATGAGCTGATATGTATCCACAAGATAGCATTAATGTTTCCTGTGCCCGAAAGCTATTCAATAAAGTGACTGTTAATTCAACAATTATCACCTTTTACTTAACCACAAAAACTGCTACTATTTACTAATTGAACAAAAAACCTCTTTACTAAAGAAAAGAGTTGCACAAATTATGCACTACAGAATTACTATATAGCAAAACATGAATGAATATTATAAGAATGATTAAAATTTGGAATGGATGTACAAAAAATAACCATAACATAAACAAAAATATCATCCCCGATATTGTTTTTGAGTTGTCTATCAATAGGGCTTCCTGACAAAAAAAAACAGGGATGACATCCCATAATTTTTGATATATTTTTGATATACTTGTACTAGTATATATGTAAGAAAGGGTCATTTATTTTTTTAAATAGAAAAAACTTTGTATTGGAAAGATTAAAGACCATGAAAGTTGAACACAACTTATCCTGACCACCATGAGTGATGACAACATGTCAGSAAAATCTTGCAGACTTTGATACACATGTATCTAAAGTAATATGGAACTCGATCTTTCAGACTTGTAGGAAATGGAATTTCACAGTAACTTAGATCACGACAACTGGCATTATATTAATGGTTTATGAAAAGATAAGTGCATGATTAAAATTTAAAAAGAAGACTTATAATTGTGTGAAACAGCCAATATTGAGTCAAGAGAGTCATTACTTTATCATTATTTTATTTTCAACGAAATTTTATCTTTAAGAAAATTTTTTGTACAGTAAAAACACTTTAACACTTCAAGTTTCTTTCAGGTTATAATTTCCAGAACTTTCTACTATTTCAAACCCTCTCAAATAAAACATGAGTTAAATACACCAAGTGATGAAAATAAATCTTATTTCCAATAGTTTGGCTCAAGAGATGATTACAGTATGCATTTTTTGAAGACTGACAAAAAAATTTGAATGTTCACAGTGTGATGGTGCTCTTATCTTCTCTATGGTATTTTATTTGAAATCTGGTGACAATAAAATATATATTTCAGTGCAGAAGAGTGGGGTAACAGGTTGACACAATTCAAGAAAAAGATGTAAATTACGGTGAGGGGTGGGGTAGGGGAAGGGAAAAAACAAAAAAAAGATTTCCATCCAGGGATACATAAATAAGAATATTACTAGATTAGTTTTTGAGCTTTCCTAGGATAGCAAAACCTGGTGCATTGTGGTCTAGCTTGGGTACAATTCCCTGTAGTTCACCATGCCTCATATAATGTTATATAAAGCTACATCTGGGATAGAAAATTGGGTGCATTTTGGTCTAACTTGGTTTATTCAAAATTACCCAATTACCTTTCATAAAGTAACTGCTATAACTCTCGCATTCTGATTGGTTACAAGCATGTGCCTTATGAGAGCAAACAGCATGTGCGCTCACTTTCTATTTCATCATAAGAGTTCAAAATAATGACTACACTAATTTGTATGTTATAAAGGAAATAWAAAACTATGGGCCTTGCTTCTCCTTACTCTAGTGTTCTGTCAAACCCTGAGTGCTTTATAAAGTCCTGCACACAGCATGCGTGCACATTTTCTATTTCTTCAAGATAGGATTATTAAATAAGACTTTGTCATATTTTATAGAAGTATTTTTTTCTTGCATTTGGTACTTAAATCCCTCATATTTTAAAGAAATTAAATGTCTGTTGAAACAGCAAGTAGATTTAAAGATTCATTCCACAGTTTGAAATTCATAATATTGACAGTAAAAAATCTAAACAAAGTGAAACCTTAGAATCAACTTCCTGATGGAATTTTGGTTGAGTTTATGTAATTGRATTTAAATAATTGTGGTAAGTAAGAGTTGGTTCTCTGGAAATAATTCTTAAAATAGAAGCTAAAAATAGGCATTAATTTAGGTGTTATAGTAAAATGCACCATTATTTAGAAAAGTAATGAAAAATTCACAGTGAAATCGTTTTGAAACTAAAGCATTGTTTTATGTTTCTGTAAATTTGGGTTTTATATAAAAAATGTGAAACAAAGAAAAATTCCTGAAATAAATAAAGTAAATGAAATAGCAAACAGATCAGTACAAAAAGAAAAAAGTTAGGAATTTGCATTTAGATAAATAAAATATGAAGATAACCTCATTATTACTTACAAAATTCCGCAAAAGTTTGTACAGAAACCAAGAAGATCAGAGGTGAATGACTGAAGCAATTTTATACAGTAACGTGGAAATTAAGAAATGAAGAGACGAATGTAAAGAATAGAAAAAAGAATGTATGTTGAGAAAACTCCGAAATTTGTAATATTAAGGTCATGAGGAGACTTTAAATCAAATTTATGAAGCATTTATTTAAGGGTTTTGCGGTTTTGAAAATGTGACAATAGTGAAACAGCTACTGTAAGAACATAAGCAATAATTATTAAGAATTATGTTGTTTGAAACAATGGTTCTTTGAATTTATATAGTCTTCCATATGGACTTGATTTAAATAAATTGTACTTTCCATACCTGTTGATAAGTCTTAAGTGGGATGAATATTCTCAAAGATTAAATTCAAGAACTTAATTCAAACAAAATTCACAAAAATTTTAAGGTCGAAATTCAYAACCAATTTCGATACGAAGCTTCAAAATTATATAATAACTCGAAGTTTATACCGTATTCTTTGAACTATTTGTTTATCAGAAATTCAAATCTACTTATGTGATGTGATGAATATTTTGTTTAGAAAGAAGAAATTAAAGCTGTCGACAGGGGAACTCAGTCATGAGACAAATAAAAAGTTAGATAATCTGTTAAAATAATTTCCCGCGATTAAAGTGTGCGATGAAATGAAATTTATTAACACAGAACAAAAAATCATCAAAATTAAGCTTAATTTTGAGCGTTAAGATTGATTAATTCTTAAGGAATCTAGCCAAGCCCTATTGTAATAATATCTAAGTCAACAGCTCTGATAACATCTGTTTTTTCTAGAAAGAAAAAATGATACGAAAACTAAATTCTCGAAAGGTCGGGCGAAGATTTCGAGACAACAACATAACTTGCTTTGCACCAGTTAAAAAAATATTTTTCCAACGTCTAMGGAAGAAAAATCTGCCCTAAATAATTATCGATATAAACACTGAAGGAAAATCACTTAGTTGAACTAGATAACAGGTTTTGTTTAATAGCTCACGAGAGCGGAATTTATAAACTTGTGAAAATGTGCTCCTTGCTCTTTGTTTATTATTCTGTTCTCGCCTTGAGCTTGTTTACAGCTTTATTGCTGAAAAACTGCCTCAAAAWATGGCATTTTTTATACGATTTAAACGAAATTCAGACCTTTATCTAGCAAATAGGATCTTATGATAAAAACATGATTCAAGAATTCCCCAACAATATGAAATATTTTCAAAGAGTTTGTAAAAATCGGCTTACCTTTTGAAAAGTCACACAACTCTRTTCAAACAGAGGAGAAGCACTTTGATCAAAGATTAACACGATATTTTGTCTTAAATTAATGAATAATGCTGAATGAATGGTTTCTCTCGATCGTACGTGAAAGAATTACTATAAATCARCCAGGGAAGTTAGTATTAACGAAACCCTTCAATCCACTCCAAGCTGCTCAAGTCACTATAGAAATCGCCGGAAGGCGACAACGTTTATTGATGGGAGCTCGGAAAGAAGGTTTCTTATTACGGAGTCAGTATTTGATATGCTTGGAAGATTTCTGTCAACACTTGACCGCCCACTTTGAGTCAGTCATATATCCCGCTGATTTTCAACTTCAAACACATGTATGCATAGATATTTTGGCAGATGTATTTTTTCGATTCTATTTCATTTGTATTTCCCCGTTGCTTCTATATTTTTAATTTTTGGCTTTGGTTTTATACTTTTTCCTCGGTCTTTTTTCCCTTTCTTATTTGTTTCTTTGTCTACTATTGTTAGTTTCTTTCTTTCTTTCTTTCTTTCTTTCTTTCTTTCTTTCTTTCTTTCTTTCTTTCTTTCTTTAATAATAATTCCTATCACTTTTTAATACTGTATAATGAGCATTCACCACAAAATGATAACTGTGGTTTTATCACGTCGAAAGCGACGACAGAACCCCCAACATTAGAACCACTTCAAAAACAGCTTTCAATGAAAATTCCATCCAAATTACATCACCAACATGATTTAAAACCAAGAAAAATTATTAATTACCTACTTCAAAGCATAATTTCAGAGAAGTTAGTTAATGAAGCTCTAATTAGCTACACTTCAAAGTCAAAAGACCCTATCTTTTTTGCTTGACGTGTTTCCGGAAGGCGTGTGGAAATAGCTTCACGCGTTTTGTGTTTAAAAAACTGTCTTCAAAAACACGAATTAGCGATCGAATTTGTGGACCTTTTTCTCTTTGCCAAGAAAAAAATCACCCTTTATAGTGCATCCGTCAACGCGTTGGCGGAGAAACAATATTTTTTCGGAGGAAGGTTAGACTTTCAACATTTATACAAGAGGCATATGTTGTAAACTGTGTGGTGTTTTTATCTGGGGTTATATATCGGTCTCTTTTAACTGTTCGGCTGTTCAAGTGCGGTTTTGCAGAACAATAATGGCAGCGTTTTTCGAATGGAATATTTGTCGTATTTGTGGTTTTAGGATTTTGAAGTAGTGAAAGAGTGTTTGGGAATCGTATATCCGTTGGCTAATTACCGAGTTTTGGTTGAAAAACCTGACTTGGATTATCTGGGATTATTGGTAAAGGTCTTGTCAATAATCCTTTGCACTTTTGCTTTTCCCATTATTTTGTCTCGTTTTTCTTCTATTCAATTAAAGCTTTCGTAATTAACTGTTTCGAAGCCTTTTCAATAAAGATATTCACATTTTTATTAACTATTTTTAAATGGACTAGCATTCAGACTGTTTGAAACTTCAGACACGAAAATATTAAAAATACCTCATGCACCCCTCCCCTCCTATCAAATTTCTTTGGCTCTCGAGTATCGACGTCATTCCACGCTTTACTTCCGGATCTAAAATTTGAATTTTACTTTGAAGTTTCGTCAAAACGGAATTTATTCTTACGATCCATTCTTACAGCCTGCAAACAGAACCAAACAAGTTTTTAAAGGGAATTAAACACAAGGCGAAACACGGTTWTACCACAGGAAGCCCAAAATCTACGGATAAATRTATTTTAGGTCACAGGAACCGGAARTRCGTCACCAATTAAAAGCTCTCCGCTTGATCGGCGACAATCTAAAGACTGTTCATAGATAACATTGTTTTCTGCGTGGGAAACTTTTTTAAACAAGAAGATCACTCAGTTCGATAGATACCAATACATTTAGTGCAGTCAACCAAGCTAAAAGATGCGCCTACATGTCTGCATACCACAGGAAGCCCGACAATATCTTATTACACCCACGCGTATACGCTCCATGCATGTTGTTTGTATCTGTTGATTGATAAGGAAACATATAGACTTTGTTGACGAGTTGGCAACAAAGAAAAGGCAGACAGACAGACAAATAAAAGAAAGAAAGAAAAAAAGTAAAGCAGGACAGAAATACAAAGAATGGAATATGAATAAATGAATAGAAGATTCGCAATAATCTTGAGAAAAAAATGACTTGGGTACCCTTTGCAATTGGTTTCTATAGGCCCCCACCGGACCCCTCTCAGAATCCACCATTAAGTCCAACGGCTGCCTTCAATCATGCGTTTCATCAATCAAAATGATCTCTCTAAGTGTGGTTTCACGTGCAGACAGATGACCACGTGTAATAATGATCACACTTCTCCTTTCAGACAGTCAAATTGAATTATCAGCCACTCATAGTCTACCGGTCTCTACTAATGATCTTGTTTACAGTCAATTCAAAAAACGTTGTCGTCGACCAGCTCAAGCCTACGCGACTGGATCGAAAGGAATATGGGTAACAATCACTGAAGCGGTTAAATATTCGTTCTGAATTGATTGTTCCCGCTAGTAGTAAAGATAATATTGGCGAGAAACGATTCATCAAATGCATGTGTTTGGGTTTAGRGAAAGAAAAACAAAGTAGTTATGATTCAGTTCACAATTCCAAAAATATGAAGGCATTAAAGATACGTCTCCTTCAACACTTCCCGCTCGCCTACAAAGGCTCGTGCTGTAAACCAGGCATAACTAGTCAGATAAAATTACTGCAGTCAACTCGGCTTCAATGATTGCTGTCCAGAGTTCCTTTCGGTTCAGTCGCGTAGGCTTGAGTTGGTCGACGACAGCGTTTTTTGAATTGAMTGTATGTATTGCAATCCGCCMTGACATACATCGCCATTAAGTAGCCTGCGAAAGGCGTTCTTTTGATGGGTYTGAGGTAGAATCGGGGTTTTGGGGTTCCTGTTTCGACTACGTGCCCGTGAGCATCATACATAGTTAGCTTAGTTACGCGCGCTCTGATTGGTCGAGAACTATGCCTTATTAGTGAAAGGAACAATAATTTTTTATTTCAATAATAAATCAAACATGTGRTCATGCCTTTGTGTCTTATAGTGTGTCAGTATCTTGCAAAGAGAAATTGATTTTCGATGAAGCAAAATACGTCATGGGGTTYAAATCAGTCTACTTTTTGCGACATGTAGAATAACATCAACCTACTTCCCAGGGCCTTCTCTTCTCGCTTTTTTTTCAAGATGGCGGCGCTCGAAGGGGATTAAGACGTTTTTCCTTCGAGCGCCGCCATCTTGAAGAAAAGCGAGAAAAGAAGGCTCTGGGAACGAGGTTGGAATGACATGTTTTGAAACATCAGACCACGTGTCATTCGCTGTGTCATGACACGTGGTCTGAAATGTTACGCCCAAACTATTAAGGTGGCTGCCTACTTTTGAACGTTCGATTTGAGCCCACGATGTGCGCGCGCTCAAAAACCGCTGAAAAATCTACAATGATTTTATTGAAGAACCATACGCGTTTGAGCTTCAACAGGGCAAAACCCTCAAGTTTTTCACGGGATTCTATATTTTTTGATAGCTCATTCGAAAAATCCCCTAAAAATCTAGGTTATATCAACATTTTAGGAAAAGCTTAAATCAGGAACACGTGAAAAAATAGATTTTTGTAGGGTTTTTTGTTCGACT